TTGTCCTTTGTGTTTTAACCCATATAGTATTAATATTTTCTCAATTGTTTCCAATGTTTCACCATGGCAAGCCCATTCCTTAATTTCCCGCTTTTTCAGCCTTAAATAAAATAATAAATAAAATAAATACCGTATCTTAAATTTTACTGTAGCTATTAAATCTGCTGAAGTCTCGCAGCATACATTATAATTAAAAAAATAACGTAGGTTTCCAATATCAGCAAATTTTATTTTCAATAAAATTCCCTAATTCGATTGATGCTAAAAAATTTCAGTTTATTGTTTTAGGCAATTATTGTGAAAATGGTCATTTACATTTGATTTTAGGCAAATCACGCATTCTATCAGAAAATGCGATATGTTGAGCATTATCGTGACAGGAAAGTACTGTATATTCAACCATTTCAAAATGTGTAAATATAGAGTAACTTCAATTTGAATGTTTGCGCTGAGAGTTTCCTTCAAGTGAACCTCAATCACGAAAATTTTAAAGTATTAAAATAGCCTCACCGGCGGTAAAGCCCCTGGTAGTTCGGTCTGAGTTTCGAATCCCACGAACTTGGGCGTTTTTCCCGTGTGTAACGAGTTAATATGAGCCAGTTCCCTCAGAAAGTCTTCCAAAAAGGCATCTCTGCCTTCCATGTAATGCCTTAGGGCGGAACAATAATGAAAAATAACAATAAAAAAATCTGAAAGTTTTTAGATTTTAAATTACGTCCAAAGGGGCCTTTTTTTAACATATTGTTTGTTGTTAAGTTCAATAATTAATAATTATTAAATAGCTTATGAAAAATAACAATAAAAAAATCTGAAAGTTTTTAGATTTTAAATTACGTCCAAAGGGGCCTTTTTTTTAACATATTGTTTGTTGTTAAGTTCAATAATTAATAATTATTAAATAGCTTACCTTGAATTTTTATCGACCTGGAAATACTTGACTTTGACACAGTAAAAAGACTCAAAGAATTGAATAAGATTTTCACTTTATCAGCTGTTTGAATTGTTTATATGACTTCATCCTTTCTTAGCATCGAATACTATTCGTTCGGTTTTATTTAATCTGTTGCCACAAACAAACGGCAAAATTAAAAAATACAGTACGAATTAAACATCTGGCGCGGGGGTAGCGCCATCTATAGAAAAAGATAAAATAAAGCATAAACATTTTTAAAACTGAACATTTCTCCCAGCCCCCGGACTGAACACTCAAGTTCAGGAATGACTATTTAGGAAGAGGATAGATAGCATTTGGAAATTGGACGTCGATAAAGTCCAGTTGACGTTTTTTACTTCAACAACTCGAACGACTCCGTCTTTTCCAGGGAAAACTTCTGTGATTCTTTTAAGATTCCATTTGAAAGGAGGAAGAAAATCCTCTTTGAGATAAACCAAGTCATCCACTTGACTAATGTTTGCAGCAAAGTCCACTTTTCTCGTAGTTGTAGTTGATTAAGATATTCCTTCTGCCATCTTCACCAAAACTGATTACGAAGCTGTTGAATCAGATGCCATCTTGACTTTAAACAAAGAGACTGTGTTGGAGCTTTCTCAGGAAAGGAAGTTACAGGAGCACCTAGTAAAAAGTGTCCTGGAACAAGCGCTTCTAAATCCTGAGTATCTGAAAAAAGAGGAGTCAGTGGCCAATAAATGTTACTTCGCAGATTTAATTCCAGCCTCCCACAGTTCTCCAAAATGTGGAGCTGAAGGTGGGATAAAATGCCATACAATAGATTTTTGGGCTGCAAAGTTTTGAATTTTAGCAGAATTGAGAAGCATTGAATGGTCTTTTATGTAGGTTGCTGCTCCTTGAAGCGTCAGATTAGGTTTTGTAATGAATGGTCCACTAAAATCAAATCCAACGTTAAGAAATGCTCTTCCGACACCAAATCTACTACACTGTAAAAAAAATTCTGTAACGTTACTAAAAAAACTCATGGAAACTGGGATGCCATGAATTATTTAAGTAATAGAAACATGTTTTTTTCTTAGTAACAATACAAGAATTATACCTGTAGTGATTACAGATATTTTATTTGTAAAGTTACTAAGAAACGTTATGTGTGTAGAACAGATGAATTGCATGTAACAAAACAAAACATACACCTGTAACGATTACAGGTATTTTGCATGTAATAGTACTCGAATTATTTATGTATTAATAACAGATTATTCTTAAGTAAAACAACAAAGTATATGTCTGTAAAGGTCACAGGCATTTTAGTTGTAATGGTACTGCAGTTATTTATGCATGTAGAACTTAGTTATCGTATGTGCGTTACCGAAAGATAAATCTGTAATAGTTACAGATACTTTGTTTGTAATACTACTACAAATAATCATGTATTCAAAACGCATTTTTCTTATGTGAAATACCAAGGAATCATTTGTAAAAGTTACGCAAGTTGTGCTTGTAATGTTACTGCAAGTAGTTATGTATCTTAATCATATTTATCGTATGTGAATTACCAAAAGATAAATTTGTAGCAGTTACAGATATTTTGTTTGTAATACTACTACAAATAATCATGTATCTAAAACGCATTTTTTTATGTGAAATACAATGAATTATTTGTAAAAGTTACAGATGTTGCGCTTGGAATGTTACTGTAAGTAATTATGCATTTTGAGCGTATTTATAATATGTTAAATAACAGAGAATCTGTGTGTAATGTTTATAGACATTTTCCTTGTGATGTTACTGCAAATAATGTTTGTATGTAAAATATATCTGTTTCATGTGATGGATAAAATGATACATCAGTAAAGATTACAGATCTTTTGACTGTAGCATTACTGATTGTATTAAAGCTTGAAGCTTTCACATTTATCAAAATTCAACTTCAGATTTTCAGTAATGTGAAAGAAATGCTGCATGTGTTTAGAAAGCAGTCTTTCTTATTCAAAGAACAGGAATACTTTGATGCTGCGCAATATTTCAGCTCAACCTATATTAAATGCCCTCAAAAGATATAAAGCACTTCTTTCGAATTAACGCCAGTCTGATGTTAATATTTTAAAATCCTTCTTTTACACTTATATTTCTTTTCATTACTTAATTTTAAAGTAAAGAATACCTGAAAACTGCTGAAGAAAAAATCGTAGCTAAGGAGCATTTATGTGTTATTCTTAAAATTTTAGTTACAAGAAATGGAAAATAATATAGACTTTTCTTTTTGATCAGTAAATTGAGAAAGGTGGACATTACTTTTAGGTGAACTATATTTCGTAACTATGATGCAGCTAAATATAATTACCTATCTTAAATAAGAAAATGACTGGAATTTTTCTGTGCATTAATTATTTCCAAAATTTGACTTTTAAATTTTGAAACTTTGATTTTTCAAAATTTAACTAATAAAATTTTGTTATTTTACTAAAAAGTTCTGTTATTTATTATGTATCAACTAAAATATTCAGAAGTCTTAAAAAGCAAAAAAAAAATGTTCATTTATATCTTATGGAAGAAGTGAAATTTTGCTTGAACATTGTAGGTAATTAACAAGTTCAGCAAGGTAATATCTGTGTGAATGAAAATTAGTTTATTTTGTTCAGTACGAAATAAACCTATGGGTTTTCATGCGTATATTTCGATTTAATCTTTGACAGTCAGTCATATCCCGGAAAACGTTTTCAGCTGGAAGATAAATGTTAAATGTAAGGCCAGTAAAAGTTCAATTTTCTAATAACTTAGTAAATTAGAAGTTGATGAATTAATATTGTATATTTCACAGAATTATAAAGAATATAAAAGCAATCTGCAATTATTATTCCTTCATCATAATCTTCATAAGGAAATTTACTATGCGTAACTAACTATTATTTAAATGCTGAATTCTAAATGTTTCTTATTAACAATTTCCCTACACATTTTGATATCCCTTGTCCAGTTCTTACATGTTTTAAACTGCATGAAAACTTTTAACTGAGATATGTGAGTGTTTAACTAATATTATTGATAAAATAAATAATTATATTTGCCTTATATTAAGCCTCCCTTCCCAAAACATTTTTAAAACATTTTTCATGCAGGTTTCATCATAATCTTCATAAGAAAATTTACTATGCATAACTAACTATTATTTAAATGCTGAATTCTAAATGTTTCTTATTAACAATTTCCCTACACATTTTGATATCCCTTGTTCTTGGGAAATTGTTAATAAGAAACATTTAGAATTCAGCATTTAAATAATAGTTAGTTATGCATAGTAAATTTCCTTATGAAGATTATGATGAAACCTGCAAGAAAAATGTCATTTTTAATTAAAAAGCAAACTATTTTCAAACTTAAAATTTATTTGTTTTTACAAATTGACACGATTTCTTTAGAAGCATAACGTTCTACGTATAAAACTCAATTTTCTGTCCCCACCTCCCACAAAAAACGCGCTAGTTATTTTAGAACTTTGGTACTATTTTTCTATTTTCTACATAGAGAAATTTTCTACTTACCAAATTTAAACACACTTTCTTGAATCAAAAGCAATCGTTCCTCTATCCACAGATTTGACTAGTATCAATTATACTCCACTGTGCATCAATGTGCTAAATCTTGTTAATCGTGTTAAAAAATTAGTATTTTAAGTGCCAAAATTGTTAAAAGGTTTTGAATATTTTTTGCCACACCATCCAGTTGTTCTGGAAAATGTTCATGTTCATTAAAAATCTTTCCATTTTTTAAAAAATAATTAAAAATGAAATTTTTGTTATCCATGAGTAAAAAGTAAAACATCTGTTAGATTTCTAAGAGATGATTCTGGTAAAAACTCATTACGTAGTTGAAACCTAGTTGTGAAAGTACGATTTTCATTTTCAACGAGCATATTCTCAGGGGGTTATTTCGGATAATGTTTCATAATTACATTAAGTGTCTGAAACAACTTGTACTGGAAGATGAATACTCAAATAAAAAAAATTGTATAAATGCAGTTAATCTATAAAAATAAGTAATCTGTTTAGTACATATCTCTAGTGAACAAACTGTATTTAGTTTTCATTACAATTTTTACTGACATTATTCACAAACAAATTAGTAAAAACAGCATATATATTGTGTGTATGAAAACTTAATTTTCATCACAACTACATTATTTATTCAAATAATATGAAAAATAGTGTACATTGCGTATGCAATTTTTAATTTTCAGGTGGCAAAATCAACGAAGAAAAGGTGGACCTTTTTACCTGTTTCAGTTTAATCCTTTTTCATTTTTTAAAATAAAAATCTGCAATTTAGTGCACATTCATAAAATGACTGAAATTAAACGATGAGCAAACGTAAATAAAATGAAAAGTTAATGAACCATATATGGGGTAAGAAATATCTTCTAGTAACTGCAATAATATTAAAAATATTCATAAAAATAATAAGTTGAATACACCATAATATATTTAAAATTATATCAAAAAAGAGATTATTTCTGTCAAAATGTTAATTTTTAATTAAAAAGCATAGATGACTTTAAAGCATACATAAATTTATTAACAGCATCTATTAGATTTACAAATATTTATTTGTTTAATTTCATTTCAGTTATAATTTTCCTTACAACTGGTGGGATTTTAACAGAAGAAGAAATTTCTGCTAATCCTACTTGCAGGAATAGCATTGACTTAACACCACATTCGTGATATTCCATATCACATGCATAATATGTCATTATTAAGTTGATAACTGCATCAATGAATTCCAAATTCTGCATCAGTAAGTCTCCTTCACATGAGATCGCCCAACGCCCAGCCATCTCTATGAGCACTGGGTGTGGAGGCAATGGTTCAGTTGCAGCTTCACTGACATTCATCTGAGGGTTAAGTTCATCCTAAAAAAAATAATTTTATATTGTAATGTGTATATCTTAAACGCTACTTAAAAGTCACTCAGGAGTTTTTTCGGTTTCTTCTGACTATTTTTAATAACTCCTAAACAACGTGATTTAAATCTTCTTCTAGAAGAAAGGTATAGATGGTAAATCAATTACAACAGACTTTCTTTAAGTATTAAAGTAGACTCTCTCTTAACATACCTAATAAAGAATAAAAGTATAACAGTAGTTTTTGAAAATTAGAAAAGCCCAAGTGTTATTTTTTAATTTATTAGTTATTATTATAATTAGAATTATGTTTGACAACATAACTCAAAAGCGTGAGGAAAAAAATATTTATTTAAATCATTAAGTTAAAAAGATTAAAGATCAGGAACAAGGTAAATTTTAATAAAAAAATTATTAAAAATTACTAAATATGAAATTTGGGATACCGATTTTCTTTTTCTTTTGGCTAATTTAATGCACCAATCATTAAGCTACAGCGAATGCAAAAACGTAAAATCAGATAAAATTGCTACCAAAGGCTTTAATATCAAAGATTTAATCAGCAATAAGCATACTGAAGCGCATTTCAAAAATCATGTGTTTGCTATATTAAGTTTCATTAAATCTAACCAAAATAATACTTAAATTTTTAGAATTAGAATTTTCTCTAAACTGTGTTCTAAGGTAGAATAAATCTTTTTGTATTATTATTCTAAGAATTATGCTACGAAAAATCTACAGTTAGATTTTTAGATTTATGCAATTCTGTTTCTACATGAATGGTAGAATAATATTTTTTTTTCTGCTATTAGAAACATAATTGCTATTCTATCTGTGAATAAAAATATGATTACTTTCCACAGCTTTTCGAAATGCTTAATATTATTTTATTGTATCATCGAAAACTTCTTACTAATTTTGTGAAAGAAATTTGAACACCTAATACAAAATAAATAAGTAAAGAAATAGTCTGGGGAATTTTTATAATATAAATTTTATGAACTGATGGAGTTACCCACTTAAGCTAATGTTTCAAATCGCTGAGCATGTGACAAATCTTCTTGATGACCGACTGAAATATAAAAATTTATTAACATTACCATGTAAAATCAACTATTACCTCTGTAACAAAGAAAGACCATTTTTCGTGGAAAAATTTTGGAATAAACTTCAGTGCAGTTTCTGCAGTTATATTTCGTGTTTTCATTCTTCTTTGTACAATTTCTAAGAAACCTCGGTTGCAAAGATTACTTTTAACTTTTGGTTCGATATCAAAGCCAATCAGACGAATCATCTCTCTAGTCAGCTAAAAGGAGAATAAAACTGGTATTTAATATTAAAATTTTCTGTACAGGCATACTAAACATTTTCGAAACAAGTACTTGGTAATTCTAGGAAAGCAAGTTACATGGGAGAAAAGGTAAAAATCGTTTCATTTAGAGTATGTTGTAAGAACATATTTTTTATTTAAAAACTCAGCATATCTGTAATACATGAGATTTAGAAGATATATGCCGCCCAACCGGTATAGTGGTTAGCGTCGCTGACTGCCGTGCCGAAGGGCCCGCGTTCGAATCCCGGAGAAAGCATGGATGTTTGTAAATGTATAGCTTCGGTGCGACATGGCGGCACTCTAAATATGCGGCGAGCCGAAAGACCTCTCGTGTGGTTTGGTGGAAGGAGAGAGGGCTGGAAATCCCTGTCCTACCGGATGCTCTCCATCAAAATTGGGGGAGGAACTGAGCTAAACAACACTGTCACCTGAATGGTGCTCAAGGATTTTGACAACGGCAGGCGTAGTCTAGAGCTCCTTGCCACGATGAATTTCGTGGGTTTGGGCTGACTACGTCAGACAAGTGAGCATAAGTAACAGCAACTACACCAGAAGGGACACACATACATATATATACATATATACAATTGATACAATATAGGGACATATATTTTTTACGTAATTTAATGCTTCGGAAAAGTTTTATGTAAATCAGGCACTTGAGTGTTGTACAGTCAAAAGTCTTTAATCCGGACTCGTCGGGACTTCGGTGATTCCGAATTATCGATTTTTCCGGATTATAGATCATCAGTTTAAATCTGGTAAGATGGCATGCAGAAATTATAAAATTAAAAATATGAAACCGTAATTTATAAAATAATGAGCAATTATGACCTAAAGGGTATCAAAATTTACAAAAAAAAAAGCTTAATATTTATTTGTTTACTTTATTAAACATTTCTTTCAACGCGCGCATGCGTAAATATACATTATGCATAGCCCGAAATTAGAAAATTGCAACCAGAAAACTATTTGATTTGTATTCGTGATATTTATATGACGAGGAATTTGATTTAAATCATATCAAAGACGAAGTACATCGAGATGAAATACTACATTTAATAACGAATTATAAGCCGAATAAAATAAAAACATCTGCCCTGAAGATAACGATAGTGTTGACAGATCAAATTCCAGTTCATTGCGCGCCGTCAAGTTCCCCCCCCCGTGCAGAGCAGCGTGAAATTGATAAACAGATTTCCGAACGGTTAGATAAAAAAAGGATATGCCTTTATCCATTTTTTGGAGCAATTCCACTTTTTGTTTGATGGACATCGAAACGTACTTTCGTTTTCGTAGATCCTTTGGGAGCTCCAGCATCGGAAATTCTATTTGACATAATCGAAAGTTCAAGCTTACTTTTATAAAATTGCTATTACAGTCAGCAGAAAATAATAAGCCGGATCCAATTCGAAGATTAAGGAACAACGCAATCATCAACATTAACTGAAATAGACAATTAGATAATTTTAGCTTATACCGTCCGTTATACATTAAACGCGCAGCGAAAACGTATTCTGCGCTTGTGCACACGCAAATGCGCAGTCGTAAAGGTCTTACGCGCACGCTTAAACGCCTGTGCGCATGCATCAACGTGGCGCATGCGCAGAAAGTTTTTAGCTTTGAGGTCCGGATTATAGATCATTCCGGATTATGGGTGTCCGAATTAACGACTTTTGACTGTACAGTTTTTGTGCCTTGTCTTTCCTGGTTTATTTTTTCCAGTATCCCAAGTAACTGCTTATTATAAAAGCTTATAAAGCTTTTTTTATTAATAGTTTAATTATTTATAAAATATAAATAATCAAAACAGACTTAATAACTCCCTAACTATGTTATAACAATAAATTATTGTATTTTATAGCAAGCTATGAAACATATCATACATTTTTAACAATGTTCGGTGTAAAATTTAGTTATACATTAGCATTCAAAAAAAAGTTTCTCAGTACATATGAATCTAAGCGTATTTAAAATAATAGTTTAAGAACTTACTTGATCTGGTGTAAATAATGCTGGCCACTGTTCTTTTATCTCACTCATTTTAATTCTGGATATTATCTGTTGTCTTCTGAAAGAAAAAGTAACTTCCATTTTTTGATTTATAAATATCCTGTTGAAGTCCTTTTTCATCCATTCTCTGTTCATTTGCTCCTGATGTTGTTGCAGAGTGGATTCATTTTCGCCATCAGGAAAGTCTGGAGCATAATTAACTTCCCCGCGTCTCGCTTTCTTAATACCACCATTTTGCAACGGGGATTTATTGGCGTTGAGATCTAATTGCAAAGTGATGCTTCTTGATCGTTTGCCTAAAAGTTAAGTTGCCTAAACTTATTAAAAATACAATACTAAATCGTCAAGCTTATTGTTTGATGATTCAAAGTTAATTTTAAAAAAACATTTGGAAAACAATAAGATCAAAATATGGACTATTTATATATAAAAGAGGATTAAAGACACTTTTTGGGGGGCGCGAGAAATCAATAATTTAGATGTAATGCGGTACACATTTTTTTTTTCAAAAAAATATTTGAAATCTGTATGGAAAACCATCTAAGTTTCAATTAAGGTTTTAAATTTAATGTTATATTTATTCTTTTCTAATAAAATTAGGCTTTTCTTAATTCTTTGTTTCTAAAACTAGTTACAGTTTCATAAAGGTAGTTTTATAATTTTTTGTAATAAAAGTGTTTTTAGAAAAAACTTTGAAATATAAAAATTAGCGGTTTTTAACAATAAAACATTTAGGCATAAATATCCACGCATTAGGACAGTAATAAATAGATTAAAACGGCTGTTTAAAGTTTTTCTTACAATTTATCGCAATTCAAACATTTTCCAAGCTTAAAATGTTAAAAAAATTGTTATTAAATTACTTACCAGAATTAATTGATGTTTCATTACATTTACATTTCCTTCTGATCTCCTGCATGCGGTACTTGAGTGCTATTTTCCAGCAGGAAATGCCATCACCTACTATGGGATCTTGTAAGGATGGGAAATTTTTAATGAGTTTTTTAGTAACATTTGCGTACATTTCGTCTGTTGGATATAAACTGTAATCAGATAGTTCTTTAGATAATATGTCCAATATTTCACGTTTGAGTTTATGAGATGCCTTGTGCAGTTTTAAAGAACTATTATATTCAGTCTCTGCTTTTTGCAATTCATTTCGTGAAATGACAGAAAAAGAGTCTTTTGAAATTTCAAAATCAAGTCCATTTCTCCAGGGCTTTTTTCTTAAATTATTTTTGTTGAGGATGCTCATCTCAATATGACTAATAATATTGGTAGATGGCTCTGGAGATGAATTACTTTTAGAAGCTACATCATCCAAATCTAATACTTTTATGCGACAAAAGTTTTCAATCTCTTCTATATGTTCCAAGTCACAAAATGCAAAAGTGCAAATGTGCATTATATACATGTTCATTATATTGGCACCAAAAATATGGCTCATCCACAATCCATATACTCTGTACTTCAACAAATGCTTTATGCTCTTTTGAAATCAGAACATGGTTTTTCTTGCAGTTCATACTAGTTCATCTTGATATTTTTACACTGTGTATAGAAACTTTGTTTCGTATTTATATGATCTAAATTATTTAATAGTTGTGCTTTAATTAAAGATCTATGGATTGGAGTTGTATTACCAGTAACTACTTCTGGATTGAAAAACTTTTGTCCGGATAAGTGGTATGCTGACAAAAGACTAATTTTTTCAGCTGCTGTTTTCAGAGGATTTTTGAAATTTCCTCCTGATTTCAATATAGACTTAAGGTAACAGTGTTTTCCTTCAAATCTCATGCACCAATAATTAACTGGTGGGGGGCCAAAATTCATGACTGCTTCAGGGTAATGCTCCAGGTTGTGATGTTTGATTTTCAGTCTTTCATTAGGAAAAATATCAATAAACATAGATAAATGTAAGTCTATTAAGTATTTTAAGTATGAAATCATCTCTAAACTCAGTTCCGGAGATAATACCAATTCTACTATGTTTTTTAATATAATTAACAAGCTCCAATAATTACATGAATTATCTTCTGGAATAAGGTCTCCAATCATAAGTGGTAATAGTTTTATTAAAGTTTTATTTGCTGAAGCATTACCACCTATTGTGTTCTTAGCACTAAAATTAGGGTCTATTTTGTAAATTTTGTTCGCTTTATCAGACCCCTTGAAATCAAAAGATTTAATACGTTCATTCAGTAAGTCAAAATTCAGATAATTATCTAATATAAGATGTTTTAATATCAGGGATATCTCATACGGAACAATACCTTCCAGCAAATCATGCATTGCATCAGGAGGTAATCCTTCAGTGACGTGAAAATATCTGAGCTCATTAAATGGGCAATTGCTTTTAATACCATATATCACTTCATTACTTTTATCAATAGCTATCTGAGATAAATGATAAGCATAATTATTTTTCGTCCTCTTAATTGAATCAATGTTTACTTTGCCAATATCTTGCTTTTGAATAAGACAGTGTCTGCAGACGCGAGAGGTGTTTGATGAAAAGGATGTGCTAAATCCACCTAGAAAATTTGATGATAAATTATCTCCAGAAATATAAGCAACACTTCCTTTTAAGCATCTTCCTAGTTTTTCAACGTAGATCCCCTGAGTTTCCAAAACCTTCAAATCTTCTAGAAGAGGTTTCACTGTATTCTGTAGAGTAAAATTTTTCATGTCTGTGTATCTTATAAAGAGACATGGTTGAATAGCTTGTAATTGTGAACGATGGTTGGGAATGATGTTAAGAAGTGTGTAATAAAGGCATGATATTTTATGTCTGCTTTTGTACATTCCAAGTGGATTACAAATATCTATTTCATCTAAGTAGAGATGCAATTGTAAAGTAATACCTGATGAAAATAATTCATTTTTCATACAAAAGTAGCTGCTATTGAAATCAGAAAACATTTTACTATTAGGTTGATTTATCTGTAAAACATCTGACAAAATGCTGTCATGTTTTAATAGGTTTGAAAGAGATTCTAAAATGGGTATATATACATAAAACCTTGGAATTCCATTTATGTCGCCTGCTCGATATTCAACTGGTTTCACTTTCAGGAAAATCCCATTTGATATGTATAATTTTCTTTTATAACTCGAAGATAAAATTCCATCTGAAAAAGATGATTCAAGTATACTTTTATTATCTATGCTTTCAGATAATATCTCATCTATTGCATTAGCTGGTACTCCTTTAAGAGAAGCCAAAGATTTTATCTGTTGAAGTTTCAATGCAGAATTCATTTGAAGTAGATTAGAAATGTCTGACAGAACTTCTGTTATAGCTGTCTGACTCATGTTTAATTTGGCTTCCATTTTTAAAGCAAAGCAGGCCAGAAAATTATCATAGTTAATATATGATAGAACATCTAAATTTTCTTCAGCATTCTTATTGTGAAGTAATTTTTGCAAATTTGAATTTACTGTGCCGAAAGCACTGTCATTTCCAAACTCATTTTGATTTTCAACATTATTCACACGGTGCTCGTCTTTAAAAATGCATTCTTTTCGTTCTGAATGATGCCTATGCATATGCGAACGAAATGATTTCTCATTTGTGTATCTTCGGGTGCAGAATTTTATAGGGCAAAAAGAAAACCCTAATGTCCGGATGTCTGATGAAATATGGTTTATGACAGAATTATAAGTGTAACTAATATTAATATTACATGATGGGCAGAAGAAAAATTCTTTAAGTGGTGTATTATTTTTTTCTCTATGAAGTCTATAAACATGGCTTTTAGTAGATGATTCCGATTTGAAATATCTGAAACAGCCATTGTACGGACAAGGCTAATTATTTCTCGAATTTGCATGTATTAAAGAAATGTGTTTTATATACTGAGTTGGAAATTTGAAATATTTTGTACAATATGGACATGTAAAGTGAAGCTGCGTTGATTCATGTGATAAATCCATGAATCTGAGTTAAAGTTCGGTACCAAATCTGAAATAAAGCAAACAATTTTTTGACTAAAATACCTACATTTAAATAAACATTAGATATATTTATATTACGCATTTTTGCAGTTAATTTTTAGACGTATCTCTTCTTCATCCAAACATCGTTCAGACATTTTTATTGACTCTCATAAATATGTAGTATATAGAATGGCTCACAAAAGTGTTCGTACACTTACGAGTTTCAGTGAAATATTGCTTTATTCATTAATGAAAATTAGTATTTTAGAATGAAAAAATTTTAATAATATTTATAAGTTTCTCTTAGCAAAACTATATTAATCATTTTATGAACATATTAAAACTTTGTTTTCGAAAAATCAATAATAAAGTTACTTGAAAGTGAATTTTTCATAGATTTTCTAACTATAAATCTCTGATCACGTTGAGTCACGTCAAGTCCTCTTTCACGGACAACCTCTTTTGACTTTATTTTGGATCCGATTTTCTTCTTTAAAGCATTTAATCAGATACTGCACCGTAAGATGGGATACATTTACTAATTTAGCGATATCTCGAATCAAATTTCCAACCTTATGATAAAAAAAAAATTATCAGTTTTCGAATGCTGTTCGTTGTTCTTTACGACTACGAGCCATTTTTAAACATTAAGTAAAATATAACGAAGTAAGCAAGCAAAATATAAAGCTAATCATTTTTTTAAAGATCACTAAAATACAAAAAAAAAAAAAAAAAAAAAAAAGAGGTAGATTATAATTTTATTTACGAAATTTTAAGAAAATGTTTCGGTGTACGATAACTTCTGTGGCGCCTTTTATCTATGCCTCCATTTTTAACTTTAGAAAAAGAAAATAAGTCAGTGTAAAAAAATTAAAAAGTTTGGTTTTATTCAAAATCGCATTGAGATGATATAAAAATATTGAGACTTATAATTCGAATTTAATTCTGGATACAGCGCTTTTTCTGAAAATTCTTAAAGTGTTCGAACACTTTATAGACTATAAATAATGATAATAACTTTGGTTTGAACCTCTCTTAAATGCTTGAGAATGAAAATGTTATGAATTTGTATTATTCTGAATTTCTACTATTCTTATTTTACGAAAATGTTTCGGTGTACGATCACTTTTGTGTCGTGCTTTATCTATGCCTCCATTTTCAACTTTAGAAAAAGAAAATAAGTCAGAATTAAAAATTAAAAAGTTTGGTTTTATTCAAAAGCACATGGAGATGATATAAAAAATATTGGGACTTATAAATTCGAATTTAATTCTGGCATACAGCGCTTTTTCTGAAAATTCTTAGTGTTCGAACACTAAGAATTTTCACTCAGTGTTCGAACAGTAAGAACACTAAGTGTTCGAACACTAAGAACACAAAGTGTTCGAACGCTAAGAACACTCAGAATAGACTATAAATAATGACAATAACTTTGGATTGAACCTCTGTTAAATGCTTGGGAATGGAAATGTTATGAATTTGCATTATTCTGAATAACCGGAAAGGAACTGGAGAAAAACATTGTTCAACCATTTACTTATACCAAACCATTTTCTAAAACTTAATAATTTTCTTAATAATTGAAACTTTAATTTTTTTAAAACGTTAATTAATAAATAATTCGTACATCTGAAATAAAATGAGAATTGGAAGAGTTTCTGGTTATAATAATGAAAAGTATTTAATTTTACAAATGTAGTTATGATACATTATATTAATACATTTACACAAAATATTAATATATTTACACAAAAAAGGAATGATTTATTATTAAATAAGCACTTACATTTGTTTGTTCCTTCACGAGAATTTTTCTTCAGATTGATGAAATTTCAAAACGTTCCACAAGCTCTCCAAGCAGTCACGAAAAGAATAACTATTTTTTACAGAGAAAGCTGGATTCTTTTAGCTCGAAATCGTTTGCAACTCAAATAGATTGATGCCAAGGCTTTTTATAGAATATTCGGTAAACGTTGCCACGTATTTTCTTCACGAAATTAATAATTTCGAACGCTTTTATTATAGTTTGCAAGATACGGGGTCTCTACTTCGCTCTTTTCTCGAATTCAGTGCTGAAAGTTCTAATGAAGTGAGCACGGCTGTTCCGAAAAGCGCAAGAGATATAAGATAAAATAAGAAGGGTTTAAGACAAATACGAGTATGTCAAAAGCATTGTAGTTTAAAATTTTTCCCTTGTAAAAAAAGACCGAAGCATATTATTACGAAATGTACAGGCGCGGTAAGATGTCTTCCCCGCAAAGCAGTTTTAGGGTTGCCATAAAATAACAAGGAAGGCAGGGTTGCGACATTTGGCGAGAAATCGCCCGTTTGGCGACAAAACTGACGATATGCCATGGAGGGATGGAGAACCTTCTGGAATTCTTACCTGGTTTAGCCCAGAATGTTCTTGAACACAAGCCGAAAGCTATATAAACCCTGCTGGTCCGCAGTCAGTGAGTGCGTCTCGAGTTAGTCCGTGCGGAGTCGATCCAGGTGACATCCGGGAAGCGAGTGCCGAGTGGGTCGTCGAGTGCATCGCGAGTTGTAGCGTTGTCTCGAAATTACGTGGAGTTCCGAGAACGACCGAGCAGAGTCGGAAGCTGTACTCTGGTGCTTTGTAGTAAAGCTGTCTCCACCGTTATTGCCTGATAGTGTGAAGGCTGTGTCAGCGTGTTTATAGCACATCTTCGACGACTGTAAAACGTGACTTTGGAGCTGTCTTGATTAATATTGGCTAAATAAAGTGTCTTACAATACTCATCAAGTACTTTCATCAAGTATTCTCGTTATTCATTCCAAATCCACGCGAACCCGAAGGAAGGAAATAACGTAACAACTGGTGTCAGAAAAAAAATAACGTAACAATATACTGAATGATGAAGGTTTTTGTTCGATCAGCTATTTTTTCTCTCTGCTCTACACTGTATTAAGAAATTCTGTAAGGTTATTTTTTTTTTTTTTTTTTTTTTTTTTTTTTTTTTTTTTTTTTTTTTTTTTTTTTTTTTTTTTTTTTTTTAAAACAAGTCACGAAAACTCGCATGTCATTGGTTATTTGAGTAATAGTAACAGGTGCATTCTTTGTAACTTTACGCGAATTATGGCTGTAAAGGTTAGAGATCTTTTTCTTGTAATATCACAGCATATAGTCATGCAAGTAGAAAATATTTTTATTATGTAAAATTTCAAACGATATATCTGAAATGATTACCGATTATTTGTTTGTAATATTAAAGCAAGATTTGGCGAGAAATCTCCCATTTGGAGACAAAATTGGCGATATACCATACACGGATGGGGAACATTCTAGAAGGAATTCTGACCGGCTTTCCCGAGAATGTTTTCAAAGGCAGATCAAAAGCTATAAATATCCTTACCTGTACGCGGAGTAGCAGTTTATCGCGAAGAGTATCTTGAGTTCAGGGATCAGCTAGAGAGTGATCGACCGAGTCGGGAGCTGTACTTTAGTGGTTTACCGTGAAGCTGTCTTAACCGTTATAACCTGAAGGCTGTGTTGCTGGTTATTTCAGCGTGTTTACCGTAGTTTTTCAACGACTGTAACGCGTCTTTGGAACTGTCCTGTGAAATATTGGCGAATAAATTGTGTTTCGATTCTTCAACAAGTGTTGTCATAGTCATTCCAAATTCACGAACCCGTAGAAGGCAACAATATTTGTCTAATGTAAAATCACAAATGAAATATATGTAACTGTTACAGACTATTTGCTTGGATTATTACAGCAAGTAATTATGTAAGTAGAACCCACTTTTCTTAAGTAAAATCCCAAAGGATGTATCCATAAAGATTTCAAATTATTTCCTTCTAATAGTCCATTAAGGAATTACGTATGTAGAATATATTCGTCACAGGTGAAATACTAAAGTATATGTCTGTAAAGATAACAAATGTTTTGTCTAAATTAATGCTTATTATAATAAAATATATTGAAATCAATATGTTCAAGTAAAAAAATGATATATATACATAGGTACTGGTCTATGGGAAAGATCCTAAATTGCAGAAAATTAATTAAAGGTTGCTGTTTCGCGTAGAGCAAAGCCATCGTATTTTTTATACTTTACATATATATAGCTATAGTCATAAAAGTGCTAGATATAGTAAAGTGACTATGCGCTACTAGATGAGATAGCTTACAGCGCTACCTAATGGAAAACGGCGGAGTTAGCGTCCCTATCTCGAAAACGATACGAGATAGGAAGAAGAACAGTATCGTAGATTTAGTAACGAAAAGAAACCTTGTGGATGTAAACGCTGGTTTGTTTCTTCACGATTTCCAAAACTGTGACGTCACGAAACTTGAAGGAATGGTTATCCTTCGAACAGGAAAACGAGCCCGCGTCGCGGCAGTGGTATCGCTTGTAGTTCACAATCGAAAGGACTGTGGTTCAAACCCCGCGGCATGCATCCTTGTACTGATTGTCTTTACAAACAGAATAGACAATATGCAGGTCTTGCACAATCGTTTTGCAAAACGCATTAACTCAACGCAACTTGAGCTTGGTGTTCGAATCTGTGCATTATGAAAATAGTGTATGAAACGTCCCACCTGTTCACCTGATACAGATATAACAGAGTTTACCTCCTCGAGTTCGTATGTTGAAGCTCATGGTTATAGAGCGAGCGACCTCAGAATAGCATTTTCCAAAAAGCAGCATTATTCTGTTGCAGAGTGCTTTTGTTATATATGAAGAGAAACTTATGTGACATTATTGAAAGGCCTTTCAAATTATCACCAATCTGAAGTAGAATTTTGATTCATTTAAAAGTTCAAACTGATATGCTACTTCTTACTTTGTACAACAACATATATGTATAGGTTGTTATTAGATGTATATTTTTTTATAAAATAACACAAAGGCATCTGGAAATACATTTGTCCTGTAAAATAATTGGGGGGGGGGAAGAAGAACACTTTATTTATATATATTAGTGTCATATGTTCTAAAACTTCCTTTTCTGTTCAGTAGTTTTAAATAAAATAGACAGACACTGCTTTAGATTTAACTTATTTGAGTAAACACATTGCATGTTGAAT